TAGACACACAAAGTTATATTCGTCAGTGTGTTGTGTCTTCTGATTGCTCTTGACAACACTGCATAATGAGGGATCTCTCAAAGACTTTCTTCAGCTTCGTGTACTGTGGAGGCTTGCCTGGTTCTGCCTTTTCTAAAGCTACTGGCGAAGCTTGTCTGCCTAGTTCTGTCTTTTCTCTACGTAATGGCGAGGTTTGCCTAGTTCTGCAGGTAATAAGGAAGACTGCCATGTTATGTACTGTAGGTAGTGGCGAGGCTTGTCTTGTTCTGCAGGTAGTGGGATAGTGTAGTTCTCGGTAGTAATTGGAGAGACATGTAGTTTTTTGTATGTGCGGGATAGTAGGGCAGCTTGTCGTGTTCTGTAGGTGCTGGTTACTGGGGCGGCTTGTCGTGTTCTGTAGGTGCTGGTTACTGGAGTGGCCTGTAGTGTTTTGTAGGTGCTGGTTACTGGGGCGGCTTGTAGTGTTCTATAAGAATTATCCTTTTACCTATTTTCTTCTCAGAATGCAAAGTACTTAACAAGAACTTTAGTAGTAAACTGTGTAAATAAATAATCGAAGACGGCAACACGAAGAGAAACGAGAAATTGTGACGGAAAATGAATACTGTTTGTGAGTTGTAATTGTTGAACTTGAAAAATTTGTTGCACCACTGACTCCTGTGACACAATGAATGAAACAATGATTTATCACAGTTACACGGTAAGAGTTTCAATCAAAAAAATATAAATGTTAGTTTTCATTTCTTTTAGAAACTGACTCCTCCATTCTTGGGTCTTCTTACTGCATTGAGAATTTTTCAAGCGGGTTTTTCCATCGACTTGCTGGTTTTAAGACGTGACTCCAAAATAGCATTACACTTTTGGCGCGCGAGGGAATTTGCGTTGAATTTAGCGTGTTAGTCTATTGTTGCCAGTAATTCTATTTTTCTAGTCGGTGGACAACAGTACCGTCGGCTTGCCAGTACTGTTTCTTTTTAACTGTTCCGTTGAGTCTTCTAGCTTTTGCTCTTGGATGGAAAGTAATAAAATTAAATCCCTTAAACACGTAGTAAACATCAGAAGAAAAAAAAAGTGCGGAAATGAAGGGATTTTTCGTCGACTTTGGAAACAATCTCATGTAATCTTTCAGTAACGTCATGCACTCGTTCCAGGGACCTGTTGCTCGATCAGCTGGAGGCTTGTGTCGTCCTCTGCCACCTGCACCAGCTGCTCTCCACACCAGCTGGTGAATAAATCAATGACGGCGGGAGAGCTTGGGGGATAGGAAAAAAAAAAGGTGGCCGGAACAGCCGTAGGAGGGTGCGCAACCTGTGTAAACAAACGCGGCACTACACACGCGCGCCATCTCTGCAAGATCCACCAAGCACAAAATTGTGTTAGGTGGGTTAAACTGGTTTTGTAGCTTGGCGGCTCTGCTGCTAGATGGCGCTCGTGTTCACTGTTGTCAACATGGCCCTTCCCTTCACGCGGCTGTTCTCACGGGCTCTCTAACTCCCTTACACTCAGACCTCTGAGTTCCACCAGTAAGCCATCAGGCTCTCTTGCGTGTGTCTAACATAAGACCGTAGCGTTTTTGTTTTCAGCTGTGCCTCTTGAGCGGCTAGTTTATAGGCCAACGGTTACCATATTTGCATGGCACGTTTGAAGCTGCTTCTTGCCGTGCCTCTGCCAACATTAATGAAAGTCATGTCACTCGTGATATGGGATTTTTTTTCTTCCAGAATGCAATAACATTCATCCTTTTTATTTACTAATAGACAGTATTCGAGTGGTATCAAAAGGTATTGGATATGAGGTACACAACACCGTCACCTACTCATAACACCAGTAACACCAACAACATTAGTAACACCAATAACACTAGCAACACCGGTACTCATAACACGACTCCGCCATCCTCCGCCACTTCCAGGAAGATTTCTTGATCCTGGTGAAGGGCTCTTGATTCAAAGTAACTTGGGGTGCTCTTTCTGGCCTTGGATCAAACCCGACAACCTCTTATTACCCAGCACTAGTATGGCCCATGCGGGTTGAACGCATCCCCACGATTATAACGTCAGCGAGTGCTGTCAGAGTATCCTCAATCTTTGTTTTCATCGTTCTTAGCTTCAAAAGTGGAGAGCGGACTATTATTTTCCTGGAAAAAAATTAATCTCAACCCTTATACCTTTTTTCCAGAGCGGCGCGCCAATTGTGCTCTCTTGGGTGAGATCAATACATAGGATCTTTTACGTGGTTCTCAACTCAATTGATCTCAGGGAAGAAAAGGTCGGAAAAAACCTCTAGCCTTCCTGTCATTCGCATCCATACAATGGCTCTCTCTCCTGCCTTCTGGCCTCTTGCAAGTCCTCCTCTTCTTGTATGAAATCCAGACCTTGCCTCCTCGTATCCTACAACCCTGGGACTTATCCATGATCCAGATTTTGCCTGTCATATCCCTCAGCCATAGTTCATATCTATGATCCAGCCCTTACCCCCTAGTATCCTCTACCCATAGTTTCTATCCATGATCCATACCTTGCTACCTTATATCCTACATCTGTAGTCTATATCCATGATCAAACTATATTAATTTGATGAATATCTATAATTTCAAGGCATTTTTCAATCTTTTTGGATTTTTAAGCGATTTCTCTCTGCTAGTTCCATTTATAGGAAAATAAATTTGATCGAAGTTCGGTATTTCATAGTTTCTGAAAAATGGATTTTTTCGCAATGTTCTCCAATTATTTTTGAGTTGTTTTAATCTTCTGTCCAGAAATTATAAATTTTCACATTTGCATTAAAAAATATAAATGGCTTAATAGTACATAATATGTCATACAACCCTTTCAAGCATTATTATAATTACTATTATTATTATTATTATTATTATTATTGAAAATAAAAGCTTAATCTACGTGGATCTCGTCACTTACTGTTAGTAATAATTTAAAAATAAACGCTAATATATCCAAAGAGAAGCGTTATATTATTAAGGGTTATATTCAGATCTTTGATTATGGAAAGCAATCAATTTTGATCCAAGGAAGGGGAGGGAAAACTCAGATTACCTTGATCATGGGCCATTTACCAGCATCAAGGCATCCTCTCCCTTATTTTTTAAGGGATCAAGCTAGAAATAAAAACATTAAAAATGTCTACGTGTTGGGGACTAGTGTTTCATAGTGTTGCAGCACCATTGACAAGTGCTATAAACGTTCAGTCTTGCACCGAGTGTTGCTGCAGTATCTACCAGCACAACAATGATCACTCTTGCACTGGCTCTCAACAAATCCTTTTGTCAACACTCCAGTGACTCTAAACTCTATTTGTAAGTTAAACTTAAAATCCTCAGCTGAAATGTACACTTATACACATTATTTGCAATCTCTATCTATAAACCTTACCTGTAATTTATACGTCCAAGATCTACATGTTAATTACACCTCTAAGTTCTACCTATAAGCTATGTCTCTAAGCTCTACCTGTCATTTGTACCTATAATCCATAAATGCAAGGTCTACCTACTGTACATGCATTATCTAGAAGTTCTACCTTTAAGTTCCACCTGGAAGCTCTACCTTTAAGTTCTACCTTGAAGTTCCACTTTTATCCTCGTGTAAGCCTTTCCACTACTGGCAGACAAAGTCGTCAAAGACTTTTATCTTCCACAACCTCAGTCTTGATTACAGATTTGCACACACACACACACACACACACACACACACACACACACACACACACACACACACACACACACACACAAATAACAATATTTTTCCTTTCAACTTCACAGTATTTGACGCCACTGAATATTAGATAGCGAGTCAGTCTCATAATTAATGGATGAAGGATCGAGCCCACATCCCCCTTGAGCTGCATGACCCCACACAGGTCAAGCGCTTCCTAGCATTTTAGTAATAATAATAATAATAATAACTATAATAATAATAATAATAATAATAACTATAATAGTTTGTAATACTTTTAGCAAAACTAAATAGTAAGACTCTTAAATTCTTCTAGTAAGGTTTCGATCCAATATCGCGACAACTTCAGTGCTTTCACTATTTATTTTAGCGCTGTTGAAAAGTATTACAAAGCAGATGATACGTGAAGAACAAGCCGAAATATATCTTACATGCTCATACTTAAAATGAAGATTCTTTAACAGACTCATATTTTTATATATTTTATGTACAATGTTGCACGTTTATGCCTTAGTTGACGGTGCGCTTAAAATACCAAGAAGGGTTAGTTAGGCATGCTATAGGCAGTACTTGCGTGGTAGTGGCTGGTATGTCGCGCTCTACAACTCACTCACCACAAAGAAAGTATGTGTGTGTGTTCAATGGTGGTCGTGATAATGTAACGAGAGGCCTGTAATTTGCCAAGCTGGTGGATATATCTGGAGTGTACCACCTGCTTGGTCAGCACCATCACTTTTTAGCATAGTTCAATTTACAGACTAAGAGCGTCATCCTACCTCAACTCATTTCAAACCGCAGCTTTAAAATTTACTACTTTCTAGGATACAATCCGCTACTGTCTACTTAGTTCTTATTTACTGAGCAGCCGGGGTAAGAGTTGCCCGTATATCTCGTTCCGCCCTGGAACTGAACCCAGGTCCTTTCGGTTGTGAGACGTGCGCTCTTCCACTGAACTACAGATACGTAGACGTTTACATATGCCTCAGAACGCATATTTCTAATGATTATTTATTGTATATGTCAGGATGAGCTAAATGGCTAATTATTGTGGTGTTATACAATAAAACTTATCATACTATAAAAGAAAACAATGATTTTCATTGTTGTGTCAGGCTTCTACTTCTTAATCAGCGTTCATTATAAGTGGGCAGGTGGATGTGCTTGGGGTCTGTCCAGTTAACTACGTCCACTAGCTAAAGTTATACGAAAGTTTGAGCGTCTAAGAGGAGGTCGGTTGTGGCCCTGCGCCTGACCAGGTCAAGAGCATCTATCGCTACAAGGGTGTGGAGCTGGAGTTCAGCCACGTACGTGAATGAGGCGAGTATCCCTTTGGGTCGCCCCTGAGAATATGGCCCCATGGAGCCATGGGCAGGAACGTCTGCACATCGTCGCGGTTTGGGACGGGATAGCCCAGAATGGCGGACAAATCCAGAGGTCGGTAGTAGTAGTCCAAAGGTTTGTACAAGGGACTTATAAAATCAACACTAGGCAAGTGTGGTGAAGGGAGTTCTGGAAGAAAAGGTGAAGAAGTGGTTAACTCTCGCGGAAAACAGATCAACACTGCTGGGAACTCATTCTCCTGAAGATTCATCCAGAGGGCTCCTTAGGCAGTCATCCACATGTTTCCCTTTGAGAAACTGTGAATAACTGAATTCTTTGACGTTTAGGGAAAAGTTTATATTTAAGTTTTACCCCGTGAAACATAACTAATTTGTTTTCGCAAAATGTCTTGGAGAAAACTAAAAATTCATGCCGAATCTCTTCGGAGAAGCAGTCAAAACTATGTTACAAAACATCCGACTATTAACAATACCTGGCTATTAGTCTCAGAATATATCATGAGGAATTTTGATCAACTTCTCTGTTTAGTTCCAAACATTTCCTCCAGATATTCGTAGCTGTCCATAGGATCTTCTGAGCTCCTCAGAACACCTCGGAGAAACTAAGAAACATTGAGTTAAACCTGAAAAAAAGATATTTCTGCTGCTAATACTATTGTTCCCAGCCCTCACAAAGACCTGGCAATCTTAGTAAACAATATCTAAAAGCTTCCAAAAACCTTATAAGAGCCCTTGGATCCTTCTTGGAATGGTTAGCGAGTTCCCAAGACAGTCTGTTGTCCTTCTTCACTTGGAGAGAAAACAGAGGAAAATAAATTAACACACGAGAATAAACATTAGGAAAAGCAGTGCTTAAGATATATCAGCAGTGCTCTGAAATAAAAAGAAAAAAGTGCATTTAATATAGCCTGTGCAATAAAAGTGACATAATATTAATCATGCTAATAAATTAATATTCATTTAAAAGACAAATAAAGATAAAAAGAGCATTGTGATTAAGTTCTTGGTTGCAGTATTTTATACAAGTGACACCAAAGGTTTATTTACACTTATTATAGATATAAATTGTTCTAATATTTAAGTTAGCGAGCATATCTGGCAGGTTGTTTCAACTACCAAGCAACTACAACGCTCTGAAAACTACGGTAGTCGGACAGTTACAGTAGTCGAACTACAATAGAGTGACAAGTACACAATCGCAACTATAGTAGACTAACAACTACAGTAGACTGGTGAATAGGGCGGACAGATAACTACAATAATTTGACAACCAAAGTTGTCAGAAAACTACAGTTGTCAGAAAACTACAGTTGTCAGAAAACATCTTTGTTATCGAGGGCGTCAAAATTGGCTAATAAAAATATAATTATCTTATTCTGCTAGAAGCAAGCTACTAGTTAGTGATTCTAGACCACGTGCTTCATATATATATATATATATATATATATATATATATATATATATATATATACATTATGCAAATCAACCAAAATATTATTTAAATTCTCTGTCAGTTTACGTAATTTTTAAATGTCCCAAAATAACTGTTTCTACAAACTCCTTTAAATGACAACTTTCTTCAAATGTCTCAGTCTTTCAGAATCCATTAATTTCAAACTAAATTTTTTCTCCAATTTAGAAGTAAAAATTCCAGCTTTCCTTAATCGCAAATTCTCCCAAGTTCAACCTGCCATTAATTGCTCGGGTAAGATTTCCAACTTTGCCTATGGAACATCTCTCAGGAAATACAAACTTATTTCAATAATCTATTTCCAGTTTTAGCTTTGAATTCCAGTTCCTTTGTTTTCTCTAAACTTCCCACTTTCTTCATTCCCACTTTTAAACTTCCCACTTTCTTCATTCCCACTTTTAAACTTCCCACTTTCTTCACTCCCACTTTCTTCATTCCCACTTTTAAACTTCCACTTTCTTTACTCCCACTTTCTTTACTCCCACTTTCTTCACTCCCACTTTTAAACTTCCCACTTTCTTCACTCCCACTTTTAAACTTCCCACTTTCTTCACTCCCACTTTTAAACTTCCCACTTTCTTCACTCCCACTTTTAAACTTCCCACTTGCCTTGCTACCACTCTTAAACATCCAGTTTTCCTATACTCTCGCATGGTACCATTTCCTCAACAACCACATACTGTTACGTTGACTCATAAAAGTCTTTATTGCTCGACTTACTATGCCACTGAGTACACTGGAGCATCGCTCGAGTACTCCCTTAATCAAAGGACCAACCGCCCTGACTGCTTTGCTGAGACATCCACCAGGACTGTGTTGCCCCTTATTTTACAGTAAAAATAACAGAGTGGGAGAAGCTGTGTATATGATGAGAGAGAGAACAGTGAAAAATAGGGGTAAAGCCAAAGAGGTAAATATAGAGATAACAATAAGGAAACGTTTAACTTTGTATAAATGAATATAATATCTTTATTTCTATAAGTACAAGGTATACAGG